GTATTATACTTGTAACATTTGCATATTTTACACTACATTAAACATAGTAGATACAAAACCGTTAGTCAAAGTTTCTAAAGAGGGCGAATACAAAAAAGAAACATTTTAAGATTTTTATTTTTTTTTTAACATTTATTACTTCATGGTAATAAATATTTTGCTCAGATAAATATACTGAACCACCTTCACGTAGTGAGCCCAATATTAGTCACTCACTTTGTATTGCAGGTTTGCCTTCTGCCTGGGTTTTTATTTTGGTGATCCCCAACGGCCCCTCAGTTGGCCCTCTTTAAAAACTTCCTGGATACAGCCCTGCTCAGCGGCCATTTAATACCCAACATTAATACCTTTGGATGTTTTGGATATGACAAAGCACGTTTAAGGATTAAACAAAGTGGGTCCGACGCACATTAATAAATATCGCTCTTAATTACTTTTGTTTGTTCTGCCACAGAAAACTTTCTCCATAGGAGAGGTCCATAAACCTGCTCTGTGAGTCACCGTGGTGCGCAGGGCTCTGAGAGACTTACTGTGATCAGAACCAGTTTGGTTTTTCCGCTAGAGCTCTGAAATATGTTAACCCGTATTTTATTATGTGGTGGTTTGTTCTGCCTCACGTCCACCTCTTGTGCCACAATCTGCTCAGCTTGGATGCGACGTGATGCCAGTTCACTCAGCTGATAGAAATACAGAGAGCTGCTGAGGAGAGCTCCACCATGGAAGTGCGTTTAAATGCTAAATGATTCAGTTCTCATCTGTCACCTAATGCCTCTGCTCCGAGACGTACACCACTACTGAAGACTTTGGTCACAAGGTTGTCGGACATGTGCAACATCAGCACAATGTGACAGTTTCTTTCACAGTAAATGCAACATATTTGACAGACTGAACAGAAACATATCTGCAAGATTAGAGGAGAAGCACCTCGGTCAAAATGCCCAACCATTTTCGTCAGACTAAATAAATTTACGTCAGTAATGTCTGATTTGCTTTCACCAACACAAATTAAATTAACGTTTAATTTGTGTTACCTCTTGGTTTTATTTTTTTGTTTTTGACTTTAATGAACTTTTTTTCCACCCCATCATGTTATTTTTGCAGTTACTCATCCATTTCCTATTTTAATTCAGAATGTTAATCAAACTACAACTGCAGGTGAATGATGTTACTCTTTCCTTTGAAATAAGTTTTTCTCCATTCTTCAGTAATTTCCCCATGGACTAATAATAGAGTTTCCTTCTCACCATCTGATATTTGATCAGGTGGTTTACATTGGACTTGTTTCGATAAAGTAGGACTTTGTCAGACTCCCTAACTCATCTGTCATATTTGAGCATTTCTATGTTTGTTGGATCTTTCGTCTTTTAATTGCCTGACTATTACTAAAAAGAAAAAGCACGGGAGTGTATGGATAAATCAAAATCACATTGTTTTAAAAGATGTAAAGTAAGATTGTAAAACTTAATACTGTTATGATTGTTTTATTTGGAATATGTTAAAGAAATTGAAACAAAACACCACCAATAATAATTTATTTTCTTTACGTAGCGAAATGATTGTGGCACTGTGATAACATCAGAAACTTTGTTCTATGAAATCCTAGATTACACGTCAGCTGGGCAAAAGCCGTAGATGACATCTTTTTGCAATTTGTTCCATCCGTTCAAAAGTTCAAGTCCCCCCAAAATTTTTTAAAAACAAAAAAACCCCCCCCCCCCCCCAGAAAAAGACAATTTGTTTTTGGTAACATTAAGAAACATGAGATGTGTCTGGCATATGCATTGATTAAAACTATTGAACTCTCCATAAACACCCTATTTGAATTTTTTGTAGGAACTTTTCTCTAGTGTTCAATGGACTAAGGAACTATACATTAAAATTATTCTCGATTTGTCAGTAAACATAAATGTTTGTCAAAACAATCAAAACTGAAAGCAACATTAAAGTCGTGGATTAAAGATTTTGTTTCTTAAATGATGATTTTCACTAACAGGTGAAAGAGGTGTCCCTGGTGTAACTATTCATACATGGTGTAAATATTGAAATAACACCAAATCAGTAACCCAAACTAGTAGCCACGTATCATTATTAATGAAGACACGAGTTACATAGTCAGATATGCCAAAACTACCATGTATCTACTAACACGAAATACATTGAATAAAACTACTAATATTCGGAATGTACTGTCCACATTTAGCTAAACAGTGTATTTTTAATCACGGTTTTACATTCAAACCTCGCTGCTATAAAACTCAAACATCTTACACAGCAGCACGAATATGCTAACTGAATGTAGCATTTTCCCCACTTCCTGTCACTTAAATGGAAGCTAAAAAATGGACGACTTACTCCATATCGAAATTAAGCGGAGCTCCTACCTTTTTATATCAAGTTAACTTCAGGGCAAGACAGCGAAGACACAGAATGCTGTATTGAAGTCAACTTAGAGCGTCTGGAGGTGGAAACAGACGGAAGAAGTGGACAGAAAGACGTCGGCGGTGGGATCACTCCCTGTCAACCCGGCTTCTGCACTTTACTAGAATGACGTGTTACTCCGAATTCGACATTCTTCTATTGGTTCTTTTTCTGTGACGTCGAGTCAGCGTAGCATGCGGAAGTGGGGTACTCTGGGAAATGAAGTCTATTGTGTTTTTGAACGTTTGCATCTTCTCTTGAAGACAGCGGCAAACAGGAAGCAAAGTCACATTCTGTTCTGTGACATTTGAAGAATATACTGTTGCGTATCCATATAGCCGTAAAACTATTATGTATAAAGCCTTCAGTGTTTTTGTCATTAAAGGCATTAATGTTCATATTAATGCCTTTATGTATATATAGTAGCGAAATTTTGACCTATTAAACATGATACATAATTGTCATGCTCTCAACTTGACTGGAGCGTCAGAGTGATTACAACATCAGTATTGGTGAAAAGAGTTGAGTCTTTCTCACTAATAGGTTAATATCTAAACATGACAGACCATAAACTCTGTTTTTCTTCTTACATAGTACAGCTGCTTTGAAACCGTTGCCTCTGCATTTTTTTTCATTAAGACTTTTTCTACCAAACTTTAGAGATCAAACTTCTTTCCTTCTTTTGTAAAACATAAATACAGTTTTAGGTATGCTAATCAAAAATAAACTTAATCTCTGTAAAGCCATTGATTTCAGGGAGAGAGTAATGTTTAGTCAGTTTGATAATTCCCTGATGTTGGATTCAGACTGTTCTGTTATGAATGGTGAACAGATACAGTGACTTATAAAAATATCCACAACCCCTTTTCATTTTTTATCGTAATCCAGCCTGAAACATCAATGATATTTATTGTTTTTATGTTATGGACTAACACATATAGAAACTGTGAAGTGGAAGGAAAATGATACATGACTTTCAAGTGTTTTGTGGATAAATATATAACTGTATAAGACTAAAAGTGGTCAATGGTGCCACCAAGAGGCGTATAGTAACACTAAATATATTTCCAAATTTTACTGATTTTGGTACGTTACATTGTTGTGCTGTATTCTATATGTTTAAATTGAGGAATAGCACTGAAAGATAGAACCTTTTTCTTCCAAGCAAAACATTTTCAAGGAAACTTTTTTTTTTTTGTGGTCTGATGCGCATGTGTCAATCTCGAGGTATGGGAACCAAATCCATAGTGCGGGGTAATATAAGCCACCCTTCTAGGCTGAAGACTGGACAATACTGGAAAGGTATTTGGAAGAAAGAGGCATTTCATAGCAATGATGCACAGTGGCTAATGCAAACCACACTAATCTCCCTGAACAAAGTCAGATGAACATCACAATGGCAGATATCCTCTCAAGTATGAAGAACTGGGCAGCTCTAAAGCCAGATATGATCCATACTCATTGGCTAATGACAGTCCAGAGCCTGTCATTAGGCTCTGGACTTCTCTCCAGAGCATAATGACACAAATGAACAAACTGCTGCAAAATGGTACCCACTCTGAATGGCTGACCAAGGGCCCAATAGCCCTGATAATGAAAGTCATCCAGAAGGGAATAATCCCATCCAACTATTGGCCAAAAACCTGTAAGGTATAGTGGCTAAGATAAGGCACATGGCTCAATACATGACAGAGGCACAGAAAGGCATTGGTATACTAAACACCAACTGTTGGTTCACAGAACAGTAGCCAAACAAACAAACCTGGCTGGATCGATTACAAGAAAGTCAACAACTCAATGCCACACACGCCAATCCTGGAATGCCGTAAGCTGCATAAGATCAACAAAACTCAGCCTTGGTTGCAAACTCCATGAATTGTGGAAACCGGCCCTTCATGGGGCCAATTTCAAGTCAATTGTGCAAATCTCTATCAAATGGCTAATACAAACCACAGGAAATGCTCTGTTCTCACTAATGATGGGTTTAAAATCGAAAGGTTACATGGAAAAGTCATATTCAAATTTGCACAATAAACTCGACAGATATTATTTGGTTAAATATTTATTTTGCCTGATTTTGTTATGTTGTTATGATGGTATATATGGATTATTTTAATTTTATTCTTTAAAGAACTAACATTTTCACATTTCTTTGTACTTTTCTCCATGTAATTTTTTTGAACTTTAAATGGTTGAAGTTTGGATCAGTTAGTGAGTATTCAAACAAAATACTTCTTTACTCTTACTTGAGTAATTTCTTGCATGGCTACTTTTTATTTTTTCTTGAATAAAATTATGTTGAAGTATCACCACTCTTACTTGAGTGCAGTTTGTGGGTACTCCACTCACTTTCGAGCTTTATGTTTTATAAAGTAGCTTCTCAAGTAAAAAATAAAAAATAAATAAAGTAGCACACCCTTTAATTTAAGACAACTAATGACATTTTTGTTTTTAAATGATTTAATATAACACCTAACAGGTATATTGTTCATATTTGAATAGGACTGCTCCATGTAGCCTTTTGATACGAAACTCACCACTAGGTGGCGCCGTAGGAAAGCTGTGTTTTCACAGAGTCGCAAACCTCTGGGGGGGATGAGAGAGCTTCAGGAGGGAAAGGCAGAGAGGAGGAGAGAAGGAGAGAGCTTTTTCCTCTCCCTTTCTCTGCTTTGCACAGATGACTCCCTCCTCTGCCTCTGACCGCTTTCACATCCAGGTAAACCTTCTTCCACTTTCATCTCCTTCCGGACCGGGATCACGCCGTGCATCCGCTGCATAGAGTCGGATGATGCAGCGATAAGGAGTCCACAGCATCCTCTCCGCCGTGCTGCACTCAGCCCGGCATCGTCAGCTGTTGCTCTATGAGAGAGTGGGAGAGTGGAGGGCAGCACAGAGGCCGAACTATGCCGCTGATTACCAAACGGTAACCCGCTTCCTCAACCTCTGCAGGTCGGATTGGAAGCGAGCGGAGCTGCTTGACGAACCCGCGAGTGTTTTCTGCCCTTTGTCGGTGCCGGAGGAGCTGTGCCAATGGAGAAGGCAACTCCGCCGCTCCAGCCCCAGCCCCAGCCCCAGCTCCAGCTGTCCATAGCGAAGAGTGAAAGTCCGGCCGAAGACATCTCAGGTCTGACGGACGAGGAGCTGCTCAGGTGGACCAAAGAGGAGCTGGTGCGCCGGCTGAGGCGGTCTGAGGCCGATAAGATGAGCGTGATTCTGGACCACGGGAATCTCATCCGAGAGGTCAACCGCAGCCTCCAGCTGCACCTAAACGAGATTAGGGGGCTGAAGGTGAGGAAGAGGAGGAGGAGGAGGAAAAGGAGGAGGTTGGAGGGCCGCGCATTTGCAAAGGATGAGATCATAGGTTTGAGGCGCACCTGAGAGCGCGCATAACGTGAGGAATATTCAGCTCTTTATCAAGCAATCAGCAACCATGATGCCAGATAAGATAACACTGAAAGTTCGCTGTCTCGTTCCGTGGGCCTGCGTTGTGGATGTGCCCACGCTAAACTTGCAGGCTTAGGAAGTCCAATCAGATTCGGTTTCATAGCCTATAGGTTGAGTCACTGTGGTTTTGAGCAGAATCAGTGACATTATGGGCTTGGCACCCAGAGCTGTCTCTCTCCTTACATTTGAAATTCCTGCACATCCAGTGCATTTGAAAAAGTATTCACCATGAACTGGACTTTTCCGTTTTTTGTCACGTCACAACGGGAGACTTCAATGTGCTTGACTGGGATTTTATGTGACATATGAACTAAAAAGTTCTCATTTTTAGGTTGAAATTACACGGTGGAGTCAAATTTCAAAAGATCTGAAAAGTGTGGTGTGCAATTAAATTAAATTCTCCTGACATAATTAGATGGCGCTCAGATTAGATGAACTGTGTCTTGCCACTTAAATGGATTTGGACTTTTACTGGGACATTTAAGACTTGAATAGGTTTTGATCTAAACCATTGGATCGTAGCTTTGGTGGATGTTTATGGTTGTTTTGCTGGAAATCTACCACATTCTCAAAACTTTGGCAGCCTCTAACAGGATTTCTTCTAGCAATGTTCTGTAATTAGCTCCCTCCATCTTCTGACTTGCTGGAGATGGTGTGGTCTGGGGGATGTAAAGTATTAGTTTTCTGCCACACATAGTATTTTGCTTATAAGCAAAAGGGTAACTTTAGCTTCATATGACGAGATTACTTTCTTACATATGTTTGCTGTGTGTGTGTAGGCGTGGCTTGTGGCAAAATGCAATTGCTTTTTGTTTGTAACTGTACCTCAAAGGCCAAATTTGTAGAGTGCACAGATGGTTCCACTCGAGCTGTAGATCATTACAACTCCTCCAGAGGTACCACAGGCCTCTTTTCTCCTTCTCTGAATACTTTCCTTCTCTGTCAGTTTAGGTGTGTGACTACATATCGGTATTGTTTCTAGTCGTGTTTCAATCTTCAGGTGATGAATTAACCTGTACTTTTGATTTTATTTGGGATATCAGCGTAAACGGAATAGCGGGTGTCACACCCTTCAGCTTTTTACTTGGGGGCCGGGGGGATGTTTTTACACAAGATGTTTTTTTTTTTTTAATTATTTTATTTGGTTATTTTTTGTTAGCATAAACCACAACAACCACGCTCTGAAATGAGTGATTGTTGTAGCCTATAACCAGAAGACGTGAATACCTTCGCAAAAACGCTGCAGATTTACACAGGATGTAATGAACCTGAAGATTCACCAAGCCTTTCTCACCAACACTAATCTTAGTCACTACCTCTTCTAATAAGGGTAATGTGGCACTATGTCCACAGTGTTTACAATTAAAGTTGAGACTTGCCTGAGGTAGCCTCAGCAGCACACAGGGATCGTTTGCCTCTCCCAGGGACCTTGTCACCTCTGCCCATCCAAGCGGCCTAATTACACTGGAAAGAGCTGGAGGCTCTGACAGGAGGAGAGGGAGGATCTAGGTGAGAGTTAAATTGTCACAGGCGGAGGGGAAGGAGGTCTTTTGGAGGTGACAAAGGAGTGCTCTAATGTTGCTTTTAATGCAAAATGTTCTGTGCGGTGTCGTTTCTGCTCCTGAACCCGGCCTTCCTCGTTATATGTATCTCACTGACTGCATGCAGTTACTGTTTATTCAAGGGGAAATCAGAGAGGATTAAGGTTTCATTTCATTACGATTGCACGCGGTGACGGGGTGATATCTAAAAGAGTGGGGAATATAAATCAAATCATGTAATGGATGCAGCTTTTTTAGCGTGATAAATAGGAGATTCACCAGTTGAAATTGGACGATTTTTCTCTCGATCGTTTCTGAGCGGTGATTGGCAGGTCAAGCACTAATTAATGAGAAACAGACTCGACTTTTGTTTTTTTTCTAAATCATTAAATGCATAAAAACTATGAACTTCCATTTTTTGTTCTCTGAAGGCATCGGCCAACAGCTTTGTATTCTGGTGCACATCCTTTGGGTCTGAGCATAATCCTGTAATTCCTTTATTTGCTGCTGGATTCAAAATTAACTTAACCAACGAAGCCTGCTGCACATTGTTCCACCCACCCCCCACTTTCATGTTATGGTGCTTAAAATAATAATAATAAAAAAAATGTCAGTCAGGAAAAGTCTGCTCAGAGTATCTCTACTGTTAGCCAATTTTTAAGCTTTTTTTAGGTTATGAAATTAAAAACAATCATTTTCATAATTAACGGAGATATCGGATTTAAATAATTAAGGTTCAAAAACAATTTAAAAGTAACTTGGTGCAACTTTGTGATTTATTCTAAAGCATTTGGCTTATTGACGTGCTCTCAGGCTGCTCAAGTTTTTACTCCACTGAGACGCATGCATGAAATATGATGCATTTGATCTATGTTAAATCAATAATTCTATCTTGATTGGCTCTGATCAGAGATCAGATTTGATTTTTTTTTGTATAGCCTTTTGATGCAATCCATCAAATTTCCCTCTAATTTTACTCTGCAAATGCATCAACAAGCACCATGCTGTTTCTCTGATTGTAAAAATCCCCCTGAGGAATATATGTCAGAGAAAGGTTAGAGAAAAATGCTTTGAAGCACAGATAGTAATGAATAAAAAGCACAGATATTGTATTTTCCTGTGGATTCAAAGTCACTATCACTATCAACAAACTTACAGCACAATGTTTTTTCTATACATTATGACCCGCAGAAGAAAATGGAATCAGTAAAATACTAAATCAGAAAGTCATATCTTGAAGAAAACCAGACTTTGTTTAGAATACTGCTTTTACTTGATCTATAAGCTAACTTGATAATATTATCAAGTTACAGCTCATGCAACTTAAAAAAAAATAGTAATGGAAAGGTTTTAAAGTCTTAAATAAAACTTCATTCAAGAATAGGATTTACTGATTGATTTACTGACTGTTTACTGTAAAGAGACTTCTCTGAAACTTGAAATACTGACTGAGCTGCATGGAGGAAATATTGTATAATCAGTATATACTGCTGATCTCTGATGCACCAATCAAACAGCTAGCAATCCGACTCGTCTGATTTTCTTTAAATAAAATCTGATCGTTATCGGCAGATTAATTACTGGAAAACGTAACCTTTGTTTTTTATTATTAAATGCTCCCATCATTTTTTTTTTTTTTGTCTTGTAAGTGGATCAACAAACTGCACGTACTTTGAAAAATCAGATGGAGGTTAGGGACATACTGTATCTTTGATATTCATATTCTATTGTATTCAAAACTATCAGAGACTCTGCTGCATTTTCTTCTCTAGTTGTATTTCTCAAAGTCAAAGAGAATCAGAAATCGATATAAAACCTGACTAGAATAAAAATAATAGCAAGAATGCACTGGTAGCCATTTAAAATGTTAATTATATTCCGACTGCAGTCAAGTTTCCCATATTTCTTTTTTTCTGCATGTTTTTCTTCTCTTTTCACCAGGACATCAACCAGAAGCTGCAAGAGGACAATCGTGAGCTGCGGGACTTGTGCTGTTTCTTAGATGATGACCGTCAGAAAGGGAAGCGCGTGTCCAGGGAGTGGCAGCGTCTCGGACGGTACAGCGCCAGCATCATGCGCAAGGAAGTGACCCTGTACCTGCAGAAGCTCAAGGAGCTGGAGGTCAGACAGGAGGAGGTGATCCGGGAGAATCTGGAGCTGAAGGAGCTCTGCCTGTTGCTGGATGACGAGAAGGGAGTTTCGGGTGGAGGAGGGGTTGTGGTAGGGGGAGGCGGAGGCGGAGGGGGCGTGGGGATGGGAGGATGCCGCAACTCAATAGACAGCCAGAACAGCCTGCTGCTGGTGCCAGGCCAGGGGCTTCTCATGAGGGACGTGGGAGATGGGAGCAGCACCTCGAGTGCAGGCAGCGCCGACAGCTCAGACCACCCTCACCACAAGCAGACTCACCTCTCTGCAGGTGTGGGCAGCATTGGGAGCAGCGGGGAGAAAGGCAGCCCTGAACTTTTGCACAAACCCAGGTGTAGCAGCATCAGCGGGATAGGTGGAGCGGACAGGGAGGTGTCCAGCCCAGAGCTCCCGGCTGGGCGGCACCGGAGCACGAGCCTGGAGTATCCGTACACCCTGCCCCAGCTCTGCCGGCCCCGCTGCGGCTCCATATCCGTGCCCGACCACAGCCGGGTCATGCGGGGCCTGAGCCCGGAGAAGTACGGGCGCAACATAGGCCACCGCAGCCCGGAGCAGCACCCCAAGCACCACAGCTCGGATCTCCTACTGGGCCAAAGGCAGCACTTCCTGGGCCAGGGAGGCAGCGGGGAGCTCTATCAGAAGTACAAGCGGAGCAGTATTAGCACCACAGGCTGCGGGAGTCCCGAGCCCCGGCATGCACATTTGGGGGTCGGCGAGCACCACGAAAAGGGCTGCATGATCCACGGAGGCAGCCCTGAAACTCACAGGCACCAGTACAGTGTGAGCCCGGACCACGCAAAGTTTGGCAGTCCCGTGAGGGAGGGGCAGAGGAGGCCAGCTGGTGACGAGCTGTCACCGCACCACCGGAGCATCTACAACGGCATGAACGGTAGGTGTGTGTCTGCATCCACCGCTCCAGTTCTCTGTTGGTGTTCTACAGGTACATCTCTCCAAATTGGGATATCATACACACATATTTGAACATTTTCATTATATAATTAGGGATGGGCATTTATCATATCGCTCATCATTTATCGTGATACATTTCTTATCATTTATCGTCATGATAAATTTCAAATTTTGACATTTAAAGATCCCCCAGACTGTCCATGTTGTTGGAATGTTATTTTATTTTTTTTTACTCTTTTGTCCACTTTTTGTTCAAACAACCAATAAATACATATATATTTGAAAATATGATTCAATGCAGTTACTGTGTGCAGTTTTCTTTACAAATCACACTTCTTTAAGTGACTGA